CCCCAAAACCCCAAAACCCCAAAACCCCAAAACCCCGAAATTTCACAGATATATTGAAAGGCAGCCAGCTGATTTATTGGTCTTTCATGTAGAGTACAAAAATAAAGGTAACCAAAGTTTGAGAATAGCCAATACTCTGCAATAATTCACTACCGATTTAGCACTAAATAGGATGATTAGAGACCCAGCTAGGAGATTTCCATGAAGGAAAGAGGCAACATGGTATTTAAGTAACTAAAACTGATTTCATTAGAAATTGATGACTTTATTACAACTTTTAAGGGAAAAGTTAGCGCCAGAATCTATTTTCTTCGAATAGATAAAGGCTTAACTAGAGGAACAATCTTCTCATCGTCCGAATCGAGGATGTCTGACTCATCATCTTGCTGCTGAGGCACCTATAATAGCAATTTTATATGAATTCTCTTAAGGAAATATAACGGATAATCTTCTAGTTTGCAAGGTTGAATCTCAGTTCAAGAGCAAACCGAGGTAATAATCCTAAAACTTTTCTGATAAAGAGGATGATAAAGTTAAGGAAGATCAGAAACGCTTACTCTTTCAGGGTTGGTAATAGACCTATTCAGACTAAAGTTTGTGTTCTTATTTGGCTCAACTACATCTTCAATCACAGCTGCTGATTGATCTGATGGCTCCTTCTCAGTTGCAGCACTAGCTTCAAGTTCATTATTATTGATATCAAAGGTCTCGCTCTTTTCTATAACTTTGGAAGACTATGCTTACCTTCTGTTTGCTCGGTATGCTCTGAGTGTTCAGAGATAATATTCTTAGCTACTGAATAATTTCTACCTCTTCTTTCTTCCTCTCCGCTAATCCCTGATGCATTGAAGAACGAGGAGAAGATTAAGGCAATTGGCTGCATGAATCCCATAACAATAAAGATGATATTCAGCATTTCTGAAAAATAACAGGCGAATTCTTTGAACGAAGGATTTACACAGGTGTCTCTAAAACTCAACTGATAGTTGATCACAGCGATTTGGGAGCCAATTGCAGCCAGAGCAATGAAGAGAGACACAAATGCAATCCCGATCCCTTGACCATGAGCGAATGCAAACAGAAGTAAGGTTAGGAGCCAAGCGGTTATATCAACAATAGTTGCAATAATCATCCCTGCACTCTTATCTTTATCAAATGAGAATGAGATCGAGATTAATAAGTAAGGCACCTTCATGAGAGTCAAGTAAATCAGGTTTACTAGTAAAGCAGCTTTTGAGATGTAAAAGTTCTCTCTTGAACCCATATTAGACAACGTTATTTAATTTTTATAACTCCATTCGTTGCTAGCTATGGGGTTTTGGGGTTTTGGGGTTTTGGGGTTTTGGGGTTTTGGGGTTTTGGGGTTTTGGGG